AAGCATCTGCTTAGGCAAGCACAGGGACCAGGGTTTGATCCCAATCCCAGGAGCTGCATGCCATGCCATTCCCACCCCTGGGAGCACTGAGCTGGTCACCAAGTCTGGGTGTGGTAGTGCACATCTATAATCTCAGTACTAGGGAGGCTGAAAAGCAGGAGGATCACTGTGAGTCCAAGCTGCATACTGAGATCCTGTACCAAATACATTAAAAATAATAATAAAATAAAATAATTGCAAGTACATACCCAGACAAGTCATGAGAATTGGAGTTTAGCTGAAAGGTGTCAACTTCAATTGAGAGAAGGACTAATTGTTTACAGAACAAAAAGAGCAATGAGTTTTTATTGGTTTGCTGTAATTTCCACTGACCAAGGACATAGTTGCAAAAGACATTTCTTGTGACCACCAAGTGGTCACAAACCAACTTATCCTAAATGTTGTTGAATTTTTGTGTAGTCACCCAATATGATGCTGTGCAAAATATCCCAGGCTTCTGGGTCTGAGACTGAAAGACTTCATGTGTGTGAGCTACTGTAACTGTTGAAGGAGCATAAGGGCAGGGAACAGAAAAAGAGAAAAGAAGTAGAGAGAACATGCAACAGCTCCAATGGGCAAGCATCACACCTACATGCAGAGATGACTGAATCTGACAGAAAGGTTAAGGCAGCAAAGTGGTTAAGCATAACATGATGACAGAGATGCGGTGCCTTTTTAACAATGCCAGGCACCCATCAAACATCTTCAGACCCAAATGAAGAGTCAGGGTTTTCAGAAAAAGCAGCCTTCAGATCCCTGACAAGTACTCTAGGCAACTGTTCACATCACCCACACCTCAGAGTCATTATCAACTGAAATCTAGGGGAAACTCATAATGTATGCTTTGACCATTTTTCTCTTCACTGGGACACAATATCTGAGACCACCAAATTAAAGAAAAAGAGATTTATTTTGGCACAAGTTTATAGCCCATTGTTGCCAGGCTTCAAGGCAAGCAGAAGGGAATAGCAGAGGAGAAACTGCCACATCATGGCATCCAGGAGAGAGAGAAGGCAGGATGCCCAGAGGGAGAGAAACCCTCCCCAGGCATGCATGCCCCCACTGACCTGCCTCTTCTGACCACTTCTTAACAGCAAGTCAGCTGTCATGCCCCACAACCCAATCACCTTCCAAAAGCCCCACCTCTAAAAAAATAAAAATGAAGAGCCCCACCTCTGAGCACCCAAGGCTTTGGAGGGACATCTAGATATGAGCCATAACAGTGCATTACCCACCATGTGAAAGCCGGCCCAAGGAGCATTGTAAACCCCATCTGTGAGAGCCTCTGGTCCTGAGTCCCTAAGTCCCTCCTCACACCACTGTCCCCTCCTGCCTACCATCCCACCCATAAATCTCTCTCCATCTAAGGGCATTTATCATCTTTCTTCAGGTTCTTTTCCATCATCTTACAGTAGTAGATGATACCGGCCAATTAGCAAGGCTGCTCAGGCTCCAGGGAGCCAACTGCCTCTTCTCTGGAGATTTCCTGCTGGCTGCTTAGAAAGGTGAGCCATCTGGCCAACAGATCCCTTGTGCTAACAAGCTCCACATAAAGCCAGCTGTGGTAGTGACAGTTCCTGAGTGATGGTCCCTTGGCACCTGCCCTACCCTGCACACAAGCTGAAGCTCCTGCACATTCAGTGAGCTTCTGGTGTCCCATACACACACACATTCATCACATGGATAAATTAGCTGAGGTTCCAAAGGGGAGGGAACACTTGGTGACAAAGCCAGAGCAAGAGCCTAAGCCTCCAGACTTCCAGCCATCAACCTTTTCCTACCATCTCATTCTATCACTTCTGTTCAGAGGCTAGGAACGCCGCTATGCTATCATGCCACACTGTACTCCAAACTTTAATTTGAATTGTTTCATTTAATATTTCTATGGAAGGTCACTTCAGAAATGGCCCCCTAACATATCCCCCCCCCAACAATGTACCTGCTTCTCTTCACAGCAAATATAGAGTCATTTCTCCTCCTCTTAGATCTGGGCTGGCCCTGGGATTGCTTTGAAATACTGAATAGAATATGGGTGTAGAAGGACATTCTAGGGCTCCTGTGTCCAGGCCTTACAAGGACTGTCAGCATGTGGGGAAGAACAGGACCAGCCAGCCAACACTGAAGCTGAGCTCTCAACCACTGGTCAGTATCAAAGGCCAGCCATGTAAGGAAAGCGATTTGGGCTCTTCTAGCCATCCCAGAGGCCCAGCCAGTAGGAAACAACAACCACAAAATCCACCCATCAAACCACACAATCTTGAAAAATGTGTTGCCTTAAGACGTTATATTTTGGAGCATCTTGTTGTGGCATAGTGGCTAACTACAAAAGAAGCTGTCATCTGGTAGTAGATGTTACTGTAACAAAACTTAAAGCCTGTGACATTGGTTTGGGACCAGAGATCAAGTTGAGCCTGGATGTCTTCAAGGAGACAATTAGTGAAGGCTGTAGGGACAATGAGGAAAGAACTGGAAAGATGCTGAAGAAAAGGCCTGGGGTCTGGAATGCTCCCCATGTCTACAGCTCCTATACAATACTTATTCATTTACTGTTTGTTTGTAGCACTGGGAATTAGACCCAGGATCTTTCACACACTATGCAAATGCTCTACCATTGAGCAATACCCCCAGCCACAGCTCCTTCATTCCTTAGAGATTTTGCTGTTTCTATTGGCTTTCTCTGTTTGCCTTGAGACACTGATATGCACATTCTGGACAACAACCCCACCTAAATCACCCAGCTGGTGCCAACACCCAATATAACCCTGTGAGCGAGATTACTTTGGACCTTCCGCCATCCTCACACTGAAAACATCATGCAAAGGACAAAAGCTGCCTAGAGTGCCCACAGAATCATGAGAAGCAATTGATGTTGTTCCAAAACTCTCCTTCTAGAGTGATTTGTTGTGTGGGCTGGAGGGTCTTGGGGGAGATTATTTCCAGGTTCTTCACATTTTAAACAAAGATTTGAGCAGGACACTCAAGGAATAACAAGAGTAAGATTTTTTTTTTAAGAAAACAAGAAGCTAAGGTAGTAAGCTAAGGCCAGAGACTAGCTCAGAGCTCCAGTAGAAGCAGAGGTATTGGGTCTGTTAAAGTCCTGGGATTATGAGAGGGATCTATCGCTGAGAGATGGCCAGGAATCATAGCCCAACTGGGACCTGACTTGCTCCATCCATTAGGAGGAGGGGTTTTTGATCATACAAGGCTTTTAGAGAACGTGTCTGTACATGATTTCAGGGTAAATCCTAAGATTTGACTGACCTTGTCAGATACAAAAGTTACAATTTTGTTATATAGGTCTTGCTTTATCTTGGCCTTAACCATCCAGCAGAAAAGTATAAACATGAGGTATAAAATGTAAAGCCATATTCATATGCTGAGATGTAAAAGGCTCAAGTTAACAACTTCTGATATGGCCAGTCCTGCAGATAACCCACTGCTGTTATGGACTACCTGGACTATATTGAATTATTTTGCTGAATTCACACATCTACAATATTTGAATAGCAATGAAATATCCATCTCTGAGATATATATATATATATATATATATATATATATATAATAAGTTAGATATACAGCTACTTTCTCTTAGTTCAATGAGAAGAAAGATTTATACTAATAGTGTTTAGACAAAATATCATGTTTGCATCTTATGCTATGAATAACTACTATGAAGACAACAATATGCAATGTATTAATTATTGTAACTGTCCTACTAACCTGTTCTGAAACTGTCTCATTGATATTTCTTTCTCAATAAAATGAATTTAAAAAAAAAATAGAGCAAGTGTCACAGCGCTCAAAGCCCAGGAAGGGAAACAAAACTGCAGTGCAAATGAGATTGGATGCAGGCAGAAGCATGTACTTTCAGTGGTGCACACCCTTGGAGATCTTGGAGACGTGGACACAAAGATCAAGTGACCTTTATCTGTTGGTTTCCTGATATTCTGCCATAGTTGTCCTTTCTCTCTGGTGTCTCCACTCTTTGCCCCACTCCTTCCACTGACATTTACTTCATCTTGCTCTGTCTCTGACTCTGTTGCTATCTGTAACTCCCTCCTACAGTCTGCTATCCTTGTCCCTCCTTTCCTGTGAAGAAGGCAAAGCCCAGCCAGGGTGAGCAACTGCCCATGATGACAGAGCTGCCAAGTGACTGCACCAGCATTCCAAATTGGTATGAAATTGGTATGAAGCAGCACCAGCACTCTGGGAGCTGGAAGCGATTTTAGGTGTACAGTCTGACCTCTCTCCCACTCCAGCCAAAGAAGTAGGAGCTCAGAGGGTGGAAACAAGTGCCTCAAGCTGTCCCTGTGGTGGTGGCAGTCAGGATGCCAATCAGCAGCCCAGATCTCCTACTGCTCAGCCTGGCACAGTTGTTCCCCCACAGAATCACTTTCTCAGTTGTTTCTTCTATTTGTGCCCCTACACAATGCCTCATGTGACAACTCTACTCCAATAATGCCCATGGAGGGAGGAGGGGCAAAACCCCTAGGGGACATCTGGCCACACCTAGAGACATCTTTGGTTGTTACAGGAAGGGATAGTGAGTGCTACTAGCATGTAATGGTTAGAAGACCGTAATATGAGAAAAAGCACAGGCCAGAAGTTACCCAGCCTGCGATTCCCATAGAACTGCCACTCCAACTTCCTGGTTAAAGAAACCCAGGTTACACAGGACTTCTGGCCCAAGAGTCAGCTGTCATCTTCCACAGGGGCTAGGTGGCTCCAGACCAACTGGGAGGCATTTGGGGGGTGGGATTTCCCACCCACTAAAAACACTTGGGGGGCAGCTAGATCTTAAGAAGCATCTATCACGCAGGGCAAAGGCATTTTCCAGACTCTGAGGAGGCAGATTTGATTTGCTGCAATGAGTTTATTGGAAACACAGAGTAAGACAAAGACAAACGTGCAGGCAGCTGAGTCATTGGCTTTTTAGAAGCTTCTGCAGGCAGCCCTGGAAGGACAGTGCTCTCCTTCCCTGAGAGAGATCCCTCCCACAGTTAGAGGAAACCAGCAGCAGTTCAGGTTCCCCATCTCCACTGCCAGGCAGAAGCACATGGTCAGACCGCTGGAAGTGCTTGCTGATGGGCAGATGTTGGGGCTTGCCTTGTGCTTTCAAGTTCGAGGGAAGTTGTCAGGTAGGACCAATGAATCCAGCAAAACACAGGCAGAAAGAAAGAATGGTTCCTCAGAAAAACAAACTGACTACTAGGAAAGGCTACAGAAAGAGACCCAGGCACGCCCGCCCTTGCTTGATGCTCAGAGGAGAGCAGGCAGTCGGGGCTTGCAGGCATGCTCATGGGACAAGGTCTGCTTGAGGGAGACTCGTGGTGGTGGTGTGAGGCTCTAGCTGGGTGGAGGGTGGTAGTGGGCGGAGGCTGTTGATTGCAGCAGCTGCTGTCTCCTAGCACTTCTTACAGCCACTGCTGCAGGCGCTAACCCCGGTACACGGGGCGCAGGCGTTGGGGGTGCCTACCACCACGTTGCCGCTGCAGGGTGCACTGCAGACTCTGGTATTGACAGCAGGAGAAATACCGGAGGCACAGAGATCGCCACAGACGACGCCACCTCGGGAGCTGCTGACGCCTGAACAGGGGAAGAACGGGCAGTGGCCGTCAGGCATGGCCCTGGCCAGGCAGTTCCATAGCAGAAACTAGTTCTTCCTCCCCAAAGGGCCTCAGGCCACCCCCACAGGAGAAGGGACAGCTGGGACTACTTACACACATTGACGGAGCCAACACCCTCACACAGCCTGTAGGAGAGGAAAGGGGACAGGTCAGTGCCGTGGGAAAACCACAGGGACCAGTAGCCAGGTGCGAGGTAAGATCTGCGCCCATCCTTTGGGGAACTTGCCAAGAAAAGGCACAAGAAACAGTTCAGCCAGGAACAAAGCGCTGTAGGGGTTCTGGACTCACTGCCTGCCTGGGGAAACCTTGCTCTCAGCTACGCCTGGAGTCTTAACCCCCCTGAGCCTGGGCTTCCTCACTAGGAAAGTCTGCTCAGATATTCATGGCCCTTGGTGGCCAGCACACTGAGAGCACTTAAGAACTGTCAGCTGCTACAGCTTTGGTATTGGTTCTGGTTGAATTACAAGTGCCTTTGACAAGCAGCAGAGGGAACCTCCTAAATCTGCCCTGACTTCCATCTCTGGAATATAGGCCTAGAGGAGGGTAGAAGTCTTTTTATCTGTCCTCACTACTCCCTAAAAAAATATCTGGCTCAATAAATAACTGGTGAATGGATGAATGGGATTTGGGGACCCATTTAAAATAGGCTCTGAGACTACTACAACAACTTTCTTATTTCACAAATGTAGAAACCAAGGCTCCGAGGGGAAATGACCAATGACAGCATTAGAACTAGACTTCCGACAGACTGCATTTCCTCTGACAAAACATTGTCTCCCCAAGGGAAGCAAGCAGAGTTGCCCCCAACACACAGCAGAAAAGGCTTGGCCAAACATGCTTCAGATAAAGGAAAACTCTGTAGCTACCATCAAATAAACCGTCTCTTACCCAAACTAACAACACCAAATCTTCCTCCTTTACTCCAAGAGCATTTTATGGTGGACAGGTGGGCCACACAATTTCTACTGCTATTTTGATGAGTCTCTCCAACTTCCAACCCCAGACTTGATTACAACCATATTAAGGAACTTGTTCCTAATTAAGCCTCCCATATCCCATCACCCACTGCTTCTGAGTTTTCCAACACAATTCCTTGAGTTCTTTTGGAAGTCTCCGTACACCACTACTTAGACATCTGTGTTCCTAATCCCCCCCAGTATACAAGATGCTGCCTCAGCATCCTACCCTCTGCCATCCTCCCCCAAGACCCATGGCCTGGGTGACAAGAGAACAGCAGCTCCAGGCATGATCAACTGGCCAAATAGGTGATATAAACCCAGCACAAACAATGAGCTCTCATTCGGAAGAGTTTCTCCCAAGTGCTACAGTCAGATAGCTGCCCTCCAACCACCGGAAGCTGAACAACCAGTGTCTTCTTCCCTCATCTCTGAAGCAAGCAAACAAGTAAAACCTCTGAGATCAAGGCATAACAGCTGCACAGGATAGGTCCCTGCACTCTGTTTACCTCAGTCCCACTGCTGCAATGGGCCTACTTTGGGACACATATTATAATTACAACAGATGTGTGTGAATGGATGGAATCTCCTATCTGAATTCAGCTACATCTGAATTTCAGGGATGGGGATAGGACTGAACCAGAGCCAGGTAAGGAAGAGAGCTGAAATCATGAAGGACACATGGAATCAGGGCTGGGAGAGAAAATATACCAGGCAAGGAAGGTAGCCTCAGGAGTGAAGTAGGCTTTGGGGGAACAGAAATCACTAGTTATTGACACAAAGCAAGTCACACTCAGAGCCGCTGCCAACTCCACATCAGGGGCTTGGCAAGCATGAGAAACTCAGATGAGGCTAAATCATACTCAAAGGACTTACACAAATTTTCCTGTACAGTTGCAGGATGGGATGGGAAGGAATGAAAACAGATGTTGGTGGTATCAGAAGAGACAGGCACCCTGAAAACTTAGGAAGAACTGGGAAAGTTAAAAAAAAATATATATATATCTACAAAACACACCTCTGCTCCTCGCCCTCCAGCAGGCGTCTGTAGGTGGCGATCTCGATGTCCAGGCCCAGCTTGGAGTTCATCACCTCCTGGTACTCCTTGAGCAGGCAGGCCATGTCCTGCTTGGCCTTCTGAAGGGCCTCCTCCAGCCCTGCCAGCTTGCACTTGGCATCGTTGAGGGTCGCCTCACCCTGCTGCTCAGACTGGGTCACCGCGGTCTCCAGCTTGGTGTTCTGGGGCCCAGGAGAGAATGAGGAGGGTTATGCTCCCTGGGCTTCCAGGTTCCTTACTGCATGTGGCCAGTCCCAGCCACACAGCTGGAAACTACCCAGAGACAAGGCCTCGCCCTGAGTGACCCCAAGCAGGGACTTGAGTCATGCAAATGGGCTGAAGAATGAATGGTGGGGTTTAGATATGGCTGTGTGACCCTGGGTGGGCCCTACCTGGCACTTGGCATTCTCAATCTCAGCTGTCAGCCTCTGGATGATGCGGTTGAGTTCGTTGATCTCCTCCCTGGTGCGTCGCAGGGTCTCGCCATGCCGGATCACTGTGGCCTTGATCTCTTCACACTGGGGAAAGCAGAAAAGCTTGTGAGGCTCAGGATAACACATCCCATCCATGTGGGACACCACCAATGACTACAGGTTCTAAGTGCTCAGTGGGTGCCTCCACTCAGGGCAGCTCTGCTGTATTATTTGATCTCTGAGCAATCAGCTCTTCTCTCACCATCCCTAGAGGTCAGACTCTTCAGCAAAACAAGCCTTTCCTAGGAGACACATCACATCCCTCCCACCCCCTGTCTAGGCGACTGGTGTCCTCAGCCACTCACCCTGCTGCGGTACCAGGACTCGGCCTCCGCCCTGCTGCGGGTAGCAATGTCATCATACTGAGCCTTGATCTCAGCCACAATGCAGTCCATGTTCAGGTCGCGGCTGTTGTCCATCTTGACGACGACCGAGGTGTCTGAGATGTGGGACTGGAGAACGCGGATCTCCTGCAGGAGGAAGGGAAGAGGAAAACACCCAAATTATGTGAGCTCTTACCCACACCACCACCAGGGGCTGCTCTGAAGCCTACCTCCTAGATTTGGAACTGAAATGCCCACATGAAATGACATAACTGTTTGTATATATAAGTCCCCAATGATGCCTACCTTGCACATGCTTGTTTTGGGAATGATTCAGGTACATGGGAACTCAGGCTGCTTCCCAGGTATCCCCAGGACACAGACTGGATGTGAGGGCCTGTGCATGTTTCCTAGACCAACCCCATCGATACTGGCTTCCAGGGAAATCCCTGGGCCTCAGACATAGGCCTAGTGCATCTGGTGCTTTGGAGGCCTCTGGTGCATCCCACTGGCTCAGGGGAGAACACAGGATGGCTCCCCCGGCACAGGTCTCCTGAAGATCTCACACTTGGCCCCACTGAACTAGTCTAGTTTGGGGGTCTCTATTCTTGTTGTTCCTTCCTTTTCCTTGCCCCTCAGGCTGTGCTTGTGGGGCTTGGGTGGGGGAGACCCTATCAGAGCCACACATGAGTCCACTGTGGCTGTGAGCCCCTCACCTCCTCATACAGTCTCCTCCGGAAGTCGATCTCCTGCAGCAGCGCCTCCGAGTTGGCTTCCAGGTCTGACCTGCGCAGGTAGGCGCAGTCCACATCCTAGGAAGGTGGGGTTGTGTGAGCCCAGAGAGTCTTGCTGACTATGTCACAAACTCCTCTCTTCTAACTCAATCCAGGCAAGGCTGGAGGGATGGCAGGGGGGGGGGGATCCCAGTATTCCTATAGTAAACCATCTCAATCCTTCTCTTCTTCCCATTACCCATAATGTCTCAGGCAATCTCCTCCTTCCTATGAGAACAAACCTTGGGGTCCATGAACAAGGTTCATCCACTGTTCAGCCCTCCCACTTCTGCTTCTATCCCTGTTCTTCAGCAAGCAGCCTGCCTAGATCACTCCCAGCTCTGCTACCTGAGCCTGTCAGCTCTGTTCTCCAAGAGGCTGCCTGACCACTCCAGCTTCTGCCCCACCCCCACCCTGACCCTGGAGGTAGCTCCTTGTTTCCTAGTCAGAATCCCAGAATGCTAAATAGAGCACAGTGTCCCTCAGAAAGTCTGAATCTCCCTAGTTTCTTGGAACCATAGATTCTGAAGCAGAGGTCAGTGCAATCTTCCCCCATCCAGGTCAGGTTCCAATGGGTATCCAAGGTCATTGACCTTTGTCTAAAACCTGGATATATCACTGAATGCCTTGCCTGTCTGGAAACTTCCCATTCTGATATGGAAAAGTCAGTGCAGCCCACATTGAGGTTGAGCCTCCTGGTCTCCCCAGGATGAGTCTATCCTGAGACTCATGTTTCTGCTTCCCATTTCCATGCTACTTGCCTTCTTCAGAGCCACAAACTCATTCTCAGCTGTTGCTCTTAGAGAAACTTCCTCCTCATACCTAGGTAGAAGACAATTAGGGGTCAAGGCAGGGCAGAGTTTCCCTCTCTGCCCTCCCACTTCCTATCAGTGAAGAGAGAGTAGAGGAACAACATGCACAGTGGGGCCCAGCAGTCCTGCCAAGTCCTATCTGTTCTGTGTCTGTGCTTGTTCCTCCCAACTTTCAGTTGAAAATGTGAAGGGAATAACAGACTTTCCAATTTCCTTGTCAGGGATGTTCTAAAGTCATCTGTAGGGGTCAATAAGGACAAAGCCTACAACTCTGTTGGCCTGATGCTATTGATGCACTATTCTCTGTAAGCTTCAATCTTAGAGTCTGTGCTCTGGGTAACCCAAGCATTGTCAGTGCCTCAACACATTATCCAGCCATACTCACTTCTTCTTGTAGCCCTCCAGCACCTCCTGCACACGGTTGAGCTCAGCAGACAGCCTGCCGCCATCGGCCTCCACACACTCGGCCTCTCGCCTCAGAGTCTCGATGTAGCCCTCAAACAGCGGCTCCAGGTTGCTCTGGCAGCACTCGCGGTTCTGGTAGAACTGCAACTTGGTCTCCAGCAGCTTGTTCTGCTGCTCCAGGAAGCGCACCTACACAGAGGGTGGAAAGGACAGGTCAAAGAGAGCCTGCTGCTCCAGGGTCAGCCCTGCAGGGGATTGTGGGAAAGGGACTCCAGCCCTGGAGCTCGGTGGGCAGGAAGCAGAGGGGGGCTGTGGGCTCTGGGCCACTTCTGCTGGTGCTGAGCTGAGATACCCAAGCAGGTAGGGCCAAGTGGCACGTGTCAAGTGGCAATTGTCAGGTGCCACCCAGAGCTCAGCCCCTTCCCTGAAGCCAGTGAGGTAGGAGCCCCTCAAGACGTGCACCCAGATTCAGATCATACACTGAGGTATGGGACAGGCGCCAGGTAGAGGAGATCACAGGTCGTGTGTGGATAGCCAACTCCCCTGGGCCCTCCCCCATGCCATGGTGGTCAGGCACCCCTACCCTTCCCAGGGAACACAGCTGTGAGCCTGGGGCCGCCTGGCTTCCCTGGTTCCAGCAGCAGCTGCAGCTGCGTTGATCCAGGACTTCCAGTCATCCAGCCTGTGTGCAGTCCAATCTAGCAGCACCTTGCCCTCAAGCTCTGCTTCTCTGAAGTGTCTGTGATGGATTTCTGGGTCTGTATTCCGTGTGTGTGTGTGTGTGTGTGTGTGTGTGTGTGTGTGTGTGTGTGTGTGTTCCTCTCCCCTCCGTCGAGGCAGAGATCTTTCTGTTTCTGACTCCCTCCTCAGTGCCCATCCCTGGCGGCCAGGCCAGCTCCTGGCTCAGGAAGGGTGTGATCCAGGACACCCACCTTGTCGATGAAGGCAGCGAACCTGCTGTTGAGGCACTTGATCTGCTCCTTCTCCTCGTGCTTGATGCACTGCGCGTTGGGGTCGATCTCCAGGTTGAGGGGCGTGAGGAGGCTCTCGTTGATGGACACGCTGGTGATGCAGGGCGGGCTGGGGCCGCACACGCCTCCAGAGCGGTAGCCAAAGCTGCGGCCAAAGGAGCCAGAGCGGAAGGCCCCGCAGACGCTGTGGCTTCCGAATCCTCCTGTGAGGCCGCGGTAGCAGGAGATGCCGCGGTAGGGGGCGGCAGTGATGCAGCAGCGGCCTGGCCGGGGCCCGCAGGCCGAGGCGCAGCTGAAGGCTCGGCCGCCGCAGTAGGATCCACAAGTCATGATGCTTTTAGTGGGGACAGGAGACTGACTTAGAGACGTCCAAATGGAGGGTACAGAGGATGTGGGTTCAGCTGTTTCCTTCGTGGATGTCTATGGGCCCTTTATATATGGAGAGCCTTGTGGTTAGGAGCAATTAGAAGCCTTTTATGGGCTTGGCTTGTTTAGCTGCTGTCGCTCCTCTCTAAATGTGTTTAATTGGTGTCCAGCTGAGGCCAGATGTTTGTGGCCTTTGCCCAAAACTGCACAATTTTCTTCTTCAAAGGGCCAGCTCACTTCCCCCACACCCACCTCATATCCTAATACACAGAATGCTAGAGGGTGAGAGACACTGGGTGGCGATTCAAGCTAGAACAACGGGGGGTCGTGGTGGGGCTGCGCTGCGGTCCGCTCTGTTTGGGAAGGTTAGTGCTGCTGTCCCTGGTGCTGAATGAGCCAGTACCTAAAGGTTAGACCACCGTGAGATCAGATGATACAGAACTTGGGCTGAGCTTATTGGTTTCTTTAACCCTGCTCTCTTTCTACAACCCAATAACTTCCACCAGCCCACCGACCCAGCACCTTCATGCCTGCTCCCAAACTGTTGTGAACTCATTCTGTGGGTGGGTGTTTCTCTCACATCTCCCATACCCCCTCCCTGTCCTTGCTTCCTGCAGTCATACACGCGATTGCTGACAAATACCCATCTGCACCTCACCCACCCTCACTGGCACCCTGTTCAAGCCACCTTAGCCACCCTATCCCAAGGGGAGTTAGTCTTCCCCTCAGGACCTTCCATAAGGCTGGGGGAGAAGGTGTACACTGGCTCTCTGGGCCCAAGAAAGCCCAACAATTAGATCCAGCAAGGTCCCAGCAAAGGTCAAATGTCTTCCTTTTACCTCAACCTTTTGTGTTTCCTCCAAGTTCTGAAGTGGACATCACAGTTACAAATCCATATAGTGTTTGCCTCAGAACCTAAAATTTAATAGAGATGTAGGAGAGCTTCTGTTACCTGGTCCCCAGTACTTTCTATGCTATACGCCTTGAAGTCACCTTCCCTACACAGAAGCTGGGCAATCGCCTTGCCAGATGTCAGAACAGCTCCATACTGATGTGTGCTATCTATCTAGTGTGGGTCTTGAACTAAGGCTCATTAAGGACCAAGACACTCCCCAGCTGAGCTCTAGTGACCTGGTGGTAAGGTGCTTCTCTCTTCTGGGAAATGGGTTAAGGATGTCTCCCACTGCTGCCTCGGAGATTCACAGAGGTGTCTGCATGATAAGTAAGTTCCAGAGCGTAGTGAAGGTGGCTTTATCATAATCTGCAAGGGGGCAGTTAGTCCAGGGACAAGGTCTCTTCAGAGTTCACATTGTGACCCACTAACAGGAGTGGCCAGAATTTTATTTTACTAAAATAGATTAGAATGGAATCAAATAGAGTAGAATAGAAAAATCAAAGTGCCTCCCATTGTTTCACATGTATAACCATTGTTACATAGCCTTTAGTATATGATATGTATGGGTGGATGTGTAGAATCTGTAAAAATGTGTAAAATTCATTTGTAATGCAGCAATAACTAAAACATGGGAATACATGGCATATTATTTGAGAGCACAAACCCCAGGTTTCAAGCTGCCTAGTTTCAAATTTCTGATGCACCACTCTCTGACTGTGTAATGTGAGGTAATTATGTAACTTCTCTGTATATCATTCATGATTTGTAAAATGGGGACAATGTATACCCAGTCTCATAAATTTGTTATAGGGGGCCGGGGAGATGGCTCAGTGGAATAAGTGCTTCCCTGGCAAGTGCAAGGGCATGAGTTCAACCCCTGGTTCTGAAGAAAAAAAAAAGATTAACATCATAAATTTGTTGTAAGGATTAAAAGAATCAGTCCATGTAAAGCACTTGGAACTGATCCTGTCACACCCTAAGTGTTTAATCATGGTTGTTGATATTGTTGTTGCTGCTGTTTGTTGCTGCTGCGCCTGCTGTTGCTGTGTCTATATCGGCACGATTGGTAGAATATATCCACCCATGTGTCTAAACCACTTATGTTCAACTACTATTAATAGGACCTATCCCACAGGACTAGTAGGAAAATTAAATAAAAGAATGAATGGGCAATAACTAAACTCAGCCCCTGGCACATAGAAAGTGCCCAATAAATGCTTTTTACTATTATTCTACCAGGTGGCCCTGCACATGGGGAAGGGAGGGGAGGGAAAAACTGAGACCCTCTTCCAGATTATTCTCTTCATCCTGGAAAAGAACTCAGATGCCCTTTCTTTAATGCCCAGTACAGCTTGACTGCCCTAAGGATGGTCTGTTGAAAATCATTCGTCTTGGGAAAAGAAAACTGTCATAAGTCCTTGAGTAATCACAGTAGTAGAAAACAAAAACATTGAATAATCTGAAAAGTCAGTAATCAGTGACTAATTCATAAATTTGCACTTATTAGTTAGCCTTAACAGACTATCAGAAAACCTTGGCCATGAATCAAACAGTATCTTGTTCACTCATGTTGCTTCTTGCCTGACCCTAGAATCTCCTGCTTGGTCGGCAGCAAGGAGATAGGAGCCATGGGGCTGAGGGCAGGGGCTGTGCCCCTGTAACCAGCCTGACTGTAGTGGAACTCTAAAGAGAACGAGATGGGGCAAGCTGTCAATGCAACTGGAGAAATTAAGGTTGAAACTGAGGAAGAATTTCCTGGAGGGAGGACAGTATCCATGTTCCTCAGATAGTGTCAGTTTGGCCTTTCCATTTAAAGCAGCTTCATGTCAAAGAAAACTGGCCCTCTGGACAGGTCACCTTGTTTGTGGAGATAGGCTAAATGAGAAAACTTTTATTTTGGACATTGGTTTCATCTTTCACTCCCAGTGGACCTTATTTCAAGGGATTCCTGGAAAGGATAGTAAACTGGACAGTTTAACATTAGGAAGTCTTTGTTCAAAGTTGCGTAAGTCCATTCTACTTCTACAGAAAGCCTGTGAAGGTACATCCCCCAGGATGCATGCATGATCACTAAGAGATAGATACCACCTTCCTGGAGAGGCATTCAGGGATTCTGTAGCCCACAGGACCCAGGTATATGCTGAATGCTGTTTTAATTTGGGGGTAGGAGAGTTACTACACAGAGAAAGGAGATGTGGATCAGAGCTCCCGGTGTGACCGGGGAGACAGACCCATGGAAATGCCAGAAGTCTAGAGAGGACTGCTTTTTGGATCTACCTGCAGACACTGAGGAACACAGTGTCTACTGCCGGTGTCCTTTCTGAGACAATGTGAAATCCAGCTGGGCTAGAGAAAAGATAAGGAAGGCTCCCTGAGAAGGGGGAGGATGAATGTTAGTAAGGAGACAAGCAGAGCAATGTCAGTGAGTAGGTGTGCATGGAGATGTTTCAGAAAGCAGGACAGGGTGAGACAAGGTCAAGGAGTGGACAGCAGAGGAGCCCAAGGGCCCTTACAGGAGTGGAAGAGATCAGGAGACACTGTGACAGTGGAGAAAGAGGAATTAATCCACTTGAGGCAGAGACATGGGAAGCAGAGCTAAATCTCATCCCTGAGACACCAGGCTGTGATGCAGCCTTTGGTTTCCACATCTGGAGAACCCAAAACAGCTGTATGCTGGGCTTGTGGGTACCCAGGGGTCCATGGCCTTTCCAACCTTACAGCTTCTTTTTTCTTTAGCAAGGGCAGGCCAGACTCCACAGAGAGAAGTTGAGGGGTGGTAGAGTGCCTGGCGAGCTACTAATGACCTCAGATCCAGTCACTAGGTGGGGTGGTTGGGTTGGTGAGCTACAGGGAGGCCCACATCAGAGTCCCACATCTTCAGCCAAGATAGGCTGGGGCACTCACCAGTTACCCATAAGAATTTACCAGAAAAAGTTCTATTGGGCAAAGGGCTAAAGGCCCTCCTGGGAAGCTCAGATGGGACAGGAGCCTGACTCAGGAGCTCTGCCTGATGAGGACCATCCTACCAACCAGGCTGAGCTTCCCTAGTTTTTGTCCCTACCCTCAAGAGTTTATTGGTACAAACATAGGGCTCAGGTTGCTCATCTCTTTTGGTATGCTTTGCTCTCAGTGCTGGGCCCCTTCCCTGTCCACCTCCTCCTCCTCAGCTGTTCTGTTCCTGGAGTGCCACACACCACACACACACACACACACACACACACACACACACACACACACAATCCCCTTTTCTTTTTGCACTTCTCCTCCACTGTCCTCTGCTGCTATCCTCTTCCATCTGTCTCTCCAGATCTTCTCTCCCTTTCATTCTTCCCAACAACAGCCCTAGCCAGCTTCCTCCCCTTTTTCCAAGTGGTATCTCAGAGTAACAGTCTGAGTAAAACCAAGCACCTCCTTCTCCTTCCCTCAGAAAGTCTTTCTCAGCCACACCTCCTTCCTCCCCCACTCCAACCCCATAACCCCTCCAGCCCTGCCCTGCCCCAAGCCCTTCAGGATCCCTGCCTCACTGTGCTCAAGGGCACATTCGTCCCTCCTTGAGCTCTCAGTAAGGAGCCTCGTCCTCCCCAGCCCCACCTCCAGGACTGACTGACTGTTTCATTTGGTCCCCACCCCATCCTGCCACAAAGCTTTGCACAATTAGCCACCAAGCTTTGTTGGCTCCATTATTCAGCATTTATTATGCAGCTGGTACTCACTTTATTCATTTAACAAATATTTACTGAGCACCTACTATGTGCCAAGCCCTTGAATTGCATCCACAATATAATGTGCATATGTTGCAGGGTTAGCATTTTGGTTCCTGATTTGGATAGATATCCATCTGTTCTCTACCAGGAAAAAAGGATAAGCACCCCAACTTCTGGCCCTGAACTCTGAGATCACCCTGCTTGAAAAGGGCACAGGGCAAGAGGTGTGTGTGTGTGTGTGTGTGTGTGTAATACGAACACTGTTTGCTGAGTGCTATTTTCATTGAAACCAGATGGTGGGTGGATGGCAACACAAGGCATCCCACTCATCCTTTCCTTTGCAATCAAGCACATCAGGCTCTGAGCACCAGCTGTCCCCAACTCACACCTGAACAAGTCTCTTAACTTCCCAAATCCTCAGTGTGTGAAAACACCAGCCTCAAGGGTAATTGTATAAATTACATGGGTTAAAGCATGAGAGAGCATCGAGGTGGTCTGGAGTAAGATGAGCATCGAGAGATGTGAAGTTAGAACGTTTGCAAAATAGTTTTCTACACTAAAAATGTACTTCTTGCATAACTTTAAGGAATAAGAATGCTCCCTAGAAACACTCACAGATGCAAGATGTGAAAAAGAATGTCTACAGCAGCTCTGTTCATAATCTACAATTCCAAAAGTATCCCTGAGTCTATCAGGACAGAAAAGTAAAAACAACACAGATCCCCTATGGGAAGTGACCTCGGACAAAAGAAACCAAAAAAAGAAAGAAAGAAAAGAAAAGAAAAAAATACTACAATACGCTTCCATTTACTTATAGGAAGCTAAAAAACTGGAAAACTGTTGGGCCCAGTGGCACACATCTACAATCCCAGCTATTTGGCAGACTAAGACAGGAGGATCTCAAGCTCAAGGCCAACCTGGGTGACTTTGTGATGTCCCATTTCAAAAGAAAAGGGCTGGGGATATAATTCAGTGGTAGAAAGTTCCTGAGATTGATCCCCAGCACTGTAAAAAAAAAAAAAAAAAAAAAAGTTTTTTAATAAAATAAAAAATGGAAAACCAAACAATATACCATTAAAGAACATACAAACTGGTTTTAAAACTATTTTTAAAAAAAACAAAAAATTATTAAAACACAGAAATCCAGGAGTCAGGGAAAAAAAAAAAACAAAAAATTATTAAAACACAGAAATCCAGGAGTCAGGGTCACCTCAGGTCAGGAAGGAGAAAGGAATGAGGTACAATACACAAGCAGGTCCTAAGAAAAGGCTATGCCCTATTTTCCTCTCTAGGGGATAGATGCTCCACCTGTACATTCTTCTGTGTGTTGACATATTTTAGTAAAACAATTTCACCATAAAGTTGAAATGTATTAACTTTACACTGCCAGGGACAAAACCATAGAGTGGTGGTTCCTTCAGTCCTTTCAGGTCTTCAGATACTAGCATCAATTAGCAATTCCTAAACTTCACATTTGAATTTCTTTATATCCTGTTTCAAATTGCTCCTTGCATCTTAAAAGTCATTTAGCAAGGGCCAGCCATTAGTAATTAGCTTGAGCTAATACATGGCAATTTTATAAGGACTTCCGCTGGCAGGAAAGGTAAAGTGTGTGGAATGCACCTTGACTCAGCACTCCTGGGGACACCCTGACAGCTGCTTGGCTGGGGACACTGCTGCTCAATTGTGGGCAGTGTCCAGAATTGCAGACGAAGGTACAAAGAGCTTCGGAGGTGCTGCTTAGCTGGAATGCATGATGTGACAGCAGGTGCCACACCCTCCTCTGGGATAAGCAAAGGGCTGGCACAGTCTGTGTCTGTACTGTCGCAGGTAGCCCTGTGCCTGTTTTCACAGACACACTGAGCCTGCTGTCTAGTGTCCTCCTTCCTGCTCTTCCCCTCCCCCGCTTTTCCCCTCCGTCAGGCTGCTCTGGCGCCCTGGCCCAGGCCCTGTGAGCCCTGGCATTTTACTGCTCTTTTTTTCTCTCTTCAGTTGTTAATTGGTTGGTTGGCCTGGGATTCTGTTTGTGTTTTTTTTTTTGTTTGTTTGTTTGCTTGCTTGCTTGCTTTGAGCCACTCTACCACTAAGCTACATCCCAAGCTCTTTTTTATTTTTTTGAGAAAGGCTCTCACTAAATTGCCCAGGCTGGCCCCAAACTTCCAATTCTCCTGCCTCAGCCTTCTAGATTGCTGGGATCACATGCGTGCCCTGTTGCACCCAGCCTTTCTCTTCAATTTAGTACAAATGTCTATATTTTATCAACCAGGTTTTCTAGGACTGCTCTATTGGGGTAGGGGTGTCCCATGAGCAAAAGGACCTAGTATAGTTATGGCGCAGCAGAAGCACGCAAGTAGCTACGCTTGATGTCGCCCGTCCCCTCCTTGTTCCACATGACGACTCCCAGAGCAGCCGGCACAGCCTCCCACTGCCCAAATCCCACACACATCTCTTGGGCCTCTCCTGTTCTAATCACCCACGCTAGGCCTCTCGATCTGTTCATCTTCCTTGGGCTGATTCTCCCACCCTAAATCCACAAATATCCCTGCCTAAACAACAACTTCTACCCTTTTAAACTTTCCCAGGGATTAAGAAATACAGGAGTTATTGAAGCTGATAAGTGAAAAAAATGCACATTTCCTATCTCCACTGCTTACCAGCTAGAAGACTTAGGACAAGTTATTTCACCTTTGAGAGCCTCAGTCTCCTCATCTGTAAAATGGGGATAGGAGTACATATATCATAGGATCAATATTAAAATAAGCAGGGGACTGGGAGATAGCTCAATAGAATAAGCAGAGGGTCCTGAGTTCAATCCCTGGTACTGAAAAAAAAACATTAAAATAAGTATAAAATGATCACATAATAGGTTACCAATAACAAAGAAATACCCTCTTATCAAAATAGGTTGTATGTTTCCCTAGAGAGTTCCAATTAGGAGAAAAACATACAGGTGATTCAATTTAGCATCACCAGCCTGACACTTTGCACTTCCTAGGCTGACAGAGCAAGCATCATATGCCATCTCTTATGGAGTATTCTGCCCCAAAGTTATGATTTGAAACTAGTCAGACCCCTAGCCCAGTGCTACCCAACAGAACTTTAGGAGATGGTGCAAATGAAGTAGGTCCGCACTGCACTTTTCAATCAAGTAGGCACAAATGCCGTGTACCAAGAGAGGATTTACATACAGATAGTGCAAATGAGGAACTAGGTATTTTATTCCTTTTTAATTGATTTCAACTTAAATCGCCACACTTGCCTGTTGCCCAACGTGTTGTACAGCCCAGCTTTAGATCTAACCTGTCCAGTTCATAGAAAATACAAAGGAGGGAGGCATAGGTTAGCTCCCACATAATCTATTCTTTCTTAAATCTTAGGACAATAGGAATCTTGAATATGGAATGCATAGTGAGTGGTTTTTTGCAATTAATGTTAAATTTCTGGGATGCAAAAATATTAGTCTTTTTACTTGTCAGAAATGTGTGCTGAAGGGGCAGGAGCTGTGGAGTAAGTAGCTCAGGGGCAGAGCATTTGCCTGAGCAAGGTCCAGGGTACACACACACACACACACCACACACACCACACACACCACACTCAAGGCACCCGCCCCTTCCCCAGTTGGCCATCCACCCCTCTCCCCCTGTCTAAGAGGGTGCATGCCCTGCCAGCAAAGCTCTTTGAAGATGAAACGTGCTGAGTCCCCTGAGGGCTACTGGGCTGGCGCGCTGTACAAAGAGGAGGGTGCGGACCACTCCACCATTAAAGCATATTCTGGAGCGGCGTTGTACAGTTCTAACCGCCCAAGCCCATAAAGCTCAATTGTCCCAACCCACCCTCAGAGCCAAGGCCCTTCACAACCCCAGCATAAATAGGACTGAGGTGCGCTGAGGAGCACATCGGAGTTTCCACCAGGACTCCAGAACTCCCGTCCTTCTCGCTGCAGCACACATCTTCAAAAGCATCATGACTTGTGGTAATGGATTCCAGGGACGCCTGTTCAGCTGCGCCTCGGCCTGCGGGCCCCGGCCAGGCCGCTGCTGCATCACTGCCGCCCCCTACCGCGGCATCTCCTGCTACCGCGGCCTCACAGGAGGATTCGGAAGCCACAGCGTCTGCGGGGCCTTCCGCTCTGGCTCCTTTGGCCGCAGCTTTGGCTACCGCTC